GGACGAGCAAGACCATCACTTGGATCAGTTTGTCATAGCAATACAAATGCTTCTAATCTGAACTGTTCATCTGGTTCATCTGTTCATCTGCTCCTATCTCGGTTCAGGCAGCCGCCTCTGATACTACCACTGTAAGAGGTATGACTGGTTCTGCTCCGCTTTCCCAGTGGTTTGGGGGTGATCCAGCTCACTGCAGAGGGTTTCTCAACCAGATTGGAATATATTTTGAGATGCTCCCCCAGGCATTTCCTACAGACAGAAGCAAAGTAGGCTTCATTACTTCTTTGTATTCTGACAAAGCTTTGACTAACCCTCTATGGGCAACACAAAAACTCGTTGTCCAGAATTACCCTGAGTTTGTGGCCTCCTTTAAAAGGGTATTTGATAGTTCCACTCGCTGTTATGGTTGCCACAGTGCACGAATACTTGTTTTCAGAAAGTGAGTAGGGTTTTGTGCACATCTTCAGTCTCTTCTTTGCCACAGTAGTACGGGGAATTCTCTGATGTCTTTGACAATGGTCATGCAGGTATTTTGCTTCCACATCAGTCTTATGACTGCACAATTGATCTTCAACATGGTGTCATTCCTCCTTGTGGCTGGGCTTACCCTCTGTCTGTCTTAGAGGATAAGGCTATGGAGGGGTATGTTGCAGATTCACTATTTCGGGGGTTCATGCACAAATCCTCTTGTTCTGCCGGTGCTGTTTTTTTTTTGTGGAAAAGAAAAGTGGTGAACTGAGACCCTGTATCGATTATAGAAATCTCAATCGCATTACTATTAAAAATGCTTATCCTATCCCATCGATAATGGAATTATTTGACCACCTCAAGGGAGCAACGGTCTTCACTAAGCTCGATTCGAGAGGGGCATGCAATCTCATGAGGATTAAAGAGGGCGACGGATGTAAAACTGCATTTTGTACTAGAAGTGGACACTACGAATACCTCGTAATGCCCTTTGGTCTCTGCAACACTCCAGCAGTTCTCCAAGAATTTATTAACAATGTCCTCCGAGAGATGCTGCAGCAATGTGTGCTGGTTTACCTCAATGATATTCTCATATATTCAAAATCCCTAGAGAACCATGACAGAGACCTCTCCCATGTGCTACAGAGAGAGAACAACCTTTATTGCAAGTTGGAAAAGTGCGAGTTTCATCGTGAACAGGTTAAATGTTTGGGTTTTCGATGGACCCAGAAAAACTGTCTGAAGTTTTACAGTGGCCTCAACCCATAGTTCTACGTCCTTTACAACATTTTCTTGGCTTTGCCAATTATTATCAGAAATGTATGCATAATTTCTCTTCTCTGGTCACACCCCTAACTGATATAACCAGAAAGGAGGCCAACAAACAGAATTGGTCTCCGGATTCCATTAAAGCCTTTGAATCCCTCAAGGTTGCTTTTACTGCAGCCCCAGTGCTGGAACATCCTTATCCTATGTTACTCTTTATTCTTGAGGATGATGCGTCTGAGACTGGACTAGGCATTCTCCTGTCTCAGCATCCTACCCCTGTGGGCCCTAGGCATCCATGTGGCTACTTTTCTAAAAATTGTCTCCAGCAGAATGCAATTACAAAATTGGGGACAAAGAATTATTAGTCATCATTTTAGCTGTTAAAGAATGGAGGCATCTCCTTGAGGGTACTACTGTGCTGGTCCTCATTTTCACTGACCATAACTATCTCACATTCTTGTCTGAGGCTAAACACTTATCTCCTAGAAGGGCTCGGTGGGCCCTTTTTCTGTCACGCTTCAACTACATAGTCTCATTCTTATCAGGTACGAAGGATATAAGGGCTGATGCATTATTGCTGCAGTTTTACTCCTCTTCCAAACTGGAATCCTTTCCTACTGCTGTGACACCTCCAGACGACATTTTGGATGCTATTCGCACTAGTCTCAGTTCACCTTTGGGTGAGAGAATTTTGGCTTTGGCTTTGACTGCTGCTTTGTCTCTGAGAATCTCCGCACTGCTTTGCTCCAGGTCTACAATTCTTCCGAGGCAGCAGGGCACCCAGGGAAAAATCAACTCATATGGTCTATGTCTCAACAATTCTGGTGGCCTAGTTTCCATGCTAATGTAACCACCTTTGTAGCTGCTTGTCCAGTGTGTGCTCAGAATAAAACACCCCAACACCTTCCAGTAGGTCTTCTACAACCCATACCCAGCGGAGAGAGGCCTTGGACCCACTTGTCTATTGATTTTATTGTGGATTTACCTAACTCCCAGAGCAATACAGTTATTCTTATAGTGGTTGACCAGTTTTCAAAAATGTCACATTGCATTCCGCTAAAGAAGTTGCCTACATCCAAAGAACTGGCATCAATATTCTCTCAGGAGGTCTTTCGTTACATGGGTTACCTAATGTTATCATCTTGGACAGGGGTAGCCAGTTTGTGTCCAGGTTTTGGCGAGCCTTTTGTTCACAGTTGGGAAATCAGCTTTCCTTCTCCTCAGCATATCACTCTCAGTTCAATGGGGTCACAGAAGGGGCCAACCAAGCCTTGGAACAGTTCCTACCCTGCTATATTTCAGACCACCATAACAAATGGTCGGTCCTGTTGCCTAGGGCAAAGTTTGCTCACAGTAATGCCATCAATGCCACCTCCCGATTATCTCAGTTTATGGTGAACTATGGGTTCCAGCCATCCATGTTGCCTGATAAATTCGTTCCGCAGGGAATTCCTGCATTAGAGGAATATTTTAAGATCTTCATTTGACTTGGGTGCAGATCCAAGAATCCTTGCAACGCTCCAGAGAGAGGTACAAACACCATACTGACTGCTGATGCCTACCTGCAGCCTCCTACCAAGTGTGGAAAAGGGTCTGGCTGTCTTCCTGTAACCTCCGACTCTGTTCCCTCACTAATACCTTGGTATATTGGGCCTTTCCGCATACTCTGCAGAGTTAACCCAGTGGCATACGCATTAGATCTTCCTTCCAACATGCGTGTTTCCAACATATTCCATCTTTCCTTATTAAAACTATGCTGTGTACCCACTATTCCACCTCGGTACCACTTCAGGTTGATAACCACGAGGAATATGAGATACAATCTATTATTGACTCCCTAGGCTTCATGGACGCATACAATATCTAGTTCACTGCAGGGGTTACGGTCCGGAGGAACGCTCTTGGGTCTCATTCTCAGATGTACAGTACATGCTCCTGTCCTCCTCTGTGCTTTCCATTTCCATTTTCCCCTCAAGCCTGGTGCCCTCTTGAGGAGGAGGGGTCTTCAAGGAGGGGGTACTGTCAGGGCTGGGGGTAAGGATGGGGTTCTGTCAGTTCCTGAACTGTGTTATTTTTGCTGTTTCATTAAAGGTGTGATTTTAACTGCACTTTCTGTCTCCGTCTGGTTTATGGTTCCTCATAATAATACAGCTGTGTGTTCCTTTAGATCATTACATGCATTTTAAATGCAGCTATCATAAGTACCTGAAGCTGCCTTGATATGTGCCTTCTGTCATTTCCATAACAACAGCATTGCATGTGCTCACAGGGAATATGCTGACAGGCAGAGAGCTTCTTGCTTTATAAGTGTTGCTTCACTGTCTAATCAGCAGGCTGCAGGCAGGGAGGTAATACCACTATATTCCTTCACTCTAACAGGAAAAATGGTGTCATCTCCTTCTGGTAGATCATGCCTCACTATATACAGTTTTATTAATCATATCATTCTTTGTAGATGTATTGTAATTTTTTTATACCTTTGGATCCTACCAATAATAATACTTCCTGTTGCCAACTGAAGGTACTTGAACAGCAGACTGACAATGCTGCTGCTAATTGAGAGGAAGTGGTGTACTGTTGTCAGCATGTAACAGGCAAGCTCCTGTTGCTGACAGGTGCTGCAAGTGCTGTTAGTGACAGGATCTCCAGGTCAAACATTGCAACAATTCACAAATATGATTTTCCTAAAGAAAAAGTATCACCCAAATCTTTAAAACATTGTGTAATCCCTTATGAGACTAAGTGCATGGAGCACTCTGCCCCATTCTGATCTGTGCTATGGCTACAGAGCTAGTGTGGTCAACAGAATACCCCCCACCTCCACCACCACTGTTTGTCCATGCTGCTCACAAGCAGGGCTGTATTTCCTAATGGGCACTTTAGGCAGTGCGGTCACCTTGGAGGTGATCGTGCCGTCTGGTGCAGGTATGACGGGCTCAGTCGCGCTACAGACACTGTGAATAGAGCCATCCCCTCTCCAGTAGATACTGGGGGAGGGAAGTGAGCAGAGTAGTCCAGGCCGGGGATAGCCAAGATCTCTCTAGGCAGAGAGAGCACAGGTAGTGAGTCCCTGTCAGTGACCAGAGTGGTGGAGTCTCTGCACAGCTGTCTCCTGCTCACAGAAGAGAGGGGGAGGGTGGATCACACTGAACAGGTTACTGTGTACACAATGCAACATCACCTCCTCCAGAGAGATGTGAGTTGCCTGTGGTCACCAGAGCCCCCCCCCCCCCATAGTGCAAGGGGACCTCCGTGGACCCTAAAGTAAAGGGGAACTCTGATGTAGGAGGCAACACTGCTGAATGCTGCTGATTGTGATATACTGTAAGGGGGTGACTGTTGGTGACCAGAGACCATCTTACAGAGTTCCCCTTTACATCAGAGTCCACAGAGGTCCCCCTTACATCAAAGTACCCCTTTACATCAGAGTCCACAGAGGTCCCCCTTGCACTGTAAGGAGGAACCCTGCAGATTCTGATGTGTAGTGCTAGGCTGTTTCCTCTGTTGGGGAATATTATTAACACTCATGGTCGAATGTTCGTATGGCTATTTTTCTCTTAGGGTCCAATGTTAGGGAATGTTAAATTTGCCCAGCAAAAGCCAACTATTGCACACATGTTACAAACATTGTAGGTATTATTCATTACGCTTGCACAAATGTTGAGATACTCACAAAACATTTTTTTTAAATAAATAGACCCGTTAGTACTTTGCACAGATTTGATGTGTACTGTAACTGTATCTAATTATTCTTTATTATTCAGGTGGCTCCAATCAGTCACAAAATACTGGCAGCAAAATGATGAAAGGGAGACTAGTCTGGTGACAAATTCATCTAAAAAAAGAAGACAAAATAAACGGCAAAAACCAGAAAAGAAGTCTTACAGAGTTCGATTAGGTAATTTATGTAAAACAAGGGTTTTTTTAATACATGGTGATTTAATTATATTACACTAAACATTAGTTCAGTGCCATTTGTCTGTACAGGTAGGATGATGGGTCTATTTTCGATGTGCTTGTTTTATGATTTTGCTCTGAAATCATATTGCGACAGAGGTGTGGGTGGAACAGAACACATGTGGAGATCAAGAGGGATTTTAGGGCATTCTTTTTTTCTGAAAACATTCTTAGTTTACAGCATTTTTTCACGCCTGCCTAAAACTATTGCACAGTAGTGTGTGTGCCAAGACACATATGATATCTGTGTTGGCTAACCTTCTGAAAATGCTAGCTGTCACTCTGTCATGCTGATCTGATGGTTTCTGAACTCTACACTGACAAGTATGAAGCAAGTGAAGCCAAAACTCTTGGTTTACATATGTATTTAAACACTGTTAGTACCACCAAAATTACTCACTACTTCTATACTTAGGTTTTAACTCTAGATGTTTAAACAATTTTTCCCTTGTGCAAAATCATACTAATAATTGCGTTATATACTGTAGACACTTCTTTATAAAAGGTTATACTACAAGAAACACTGTCTCTTTAAGCATCAAAAGAAATCATTATTATGATACCCGTACCTTTACATTGCTTAGATTAGTTTTTCCTATGTACTTCTACTGTATTTTTTATTCTATTTTATGTTTGACAATATATTACTTTTGCAATGTTCTTGCAAAATAATAAAAAAATTATAAAAAAAAAAAAGCTATGGGCTGCTGAAGAGCGACATCATTTTGCCTCTGTACAAATCATTAGCAATACCACATCTAGAATATGCAGTACCTAGCTAACATGTGGGAAGCCTCACTTTCCTCGTTCACTGTATGCGCTGCTAGTAATAAGGAGTCATGTCAGGGCTAACTGAGCTTCAAAGTGGGAAGACTGTTGATGCCCACTTAGCTGGTGCCTCTGTGGCTGAAGTTGCTAATTTATTTGACATGTCACAAGGTATGGTATCAAAGGTTATGATGACATATACAGTTTCCGGGTAAACGTCGTTTGATAAGCATAAGCATGGTTGACATGGTCAACTGACCGAAAGAGACAAAAGGACATTGCACAAGAGTGTGACCTGGGATAAGAAAACAACTGCTGCAAGTGATTGCAGACCTCAATCTCAGTCTTCATGGGGCTGAGATTGAGCTCTGCAGTCATTTTGCATCAGTTGTTTCCTCCTCAATGCCCTCATTGTTACCCATTTCTTTGTGCTTCTTCTAAACAGCACATCCTGAAACCCCAGTCTGCTTTGAAATTTTTGCTTGGAAGAGACCTTGCTGATGCAGTATAACTACCCTGTTGCTGTGCTCAGTCTTGCCATGGTGTATGACCTGTGACATGAAACTGTCTTCCACAACCTCACCTTAGGCTGGCCATACATTATACAATTATCTTCCAATTTTCTGCCCAATTTCCTTTAGATTTACCTTCAACTGTGTAGTGCAAGGGCCTGCCTAATTGGATACAACTGAAAGTGTTGTTTAGGTTTGTCCTCCTATTATATGGTTTTTGGTAACTCTAAACCAAAAATCTCCAGATAATTGTATAATGTATGGCCAGCCTTAGTAGCGGAGTTTGGCTGTCCCTCACCCAGTTTTAAGTCACCTACACAGTTGTTCCTGTTTCAGTTAATGACTGTGTTTCAACCCACATATGAAATTGATGATCATCAGCACCTACTTGGTATAATTGGTTAATCATACACCTGACTTTAACCCTACAAAATCCCTGACTTTGTTCAGTACAAAATATGCAAGTGTATGAATTTATGCTAGTTTGAAGCCAAAGGTCACACCAAATATTGATCTGAGTCAGATTTTTCTTCTGTTCGCTCCCTTTACATTTTGTAAGTTGATAAAAATGAACAATTAAAATGTATATATTTTTTAAAACATTCTTACTTTACAGCATTTCTTCACACATGCCTAAAACTTTTGCACACTACTACTACTATGTGCTAATTACTTTTTATGACCCTTGCTGGTCAGATTGCACCAGGAACATCTGAGTACTCTTGCTTGCCAATGCCACTGATTTTTTTTTTTTTTTTTTGTGTTCTGGCAAGTTGAATCAAATACCAATACATCTCATGAACAGTTGTGAGGTAAACAAATACATGCAGAGAAATCTCACAAATATTAGCTTGGCATGTGATTTAACCCATTGGAGTCCACCTAAAACCCATAATCAGTATCGTTTGCTGTGTCTAGTAATTATGTGATGTTTGCATTAGTGGAAAATGGATAGGTTTCCTGGCTAGTTGCACCCAACTGAATTCACCACAGGCAGTCTCCGGGTTACAAACAAGATCTGTAGGTTCTGTAGGGTTGTTCTTAAGTTGAATTTGTATGTAAGTTGGAACAGGTACATTTTTTAAGTGTACCTCCAGCCAAAAATTATAAATTTTGCATAGCAAATGTTTGTTTTGCTGTCTGTGACCCTGTTCAGAAGATTTCATTTCACTTTCTGTCCCTGTGACAATTGGATTTTGAAAAATTTAGGTTGTCTTGGACACACGTATTGGGAATAAAGCTTCAGTGGAGACACATTTTTTCCCATGATAACTCTTACAGGACTGAATTTCCCTTCCTAGCGCTAGATTTCCTCTGACTTACTGTTGTCTCAGTGACAGGAAGTGAGATTAAATCTTCCTTTACAGCAGTAAAAACCACACAGTGGCTCTAACCCCACACCATACTAGCTAAAACTAAATAAATAAAATTTGTATGGAGTTCTACTTTAAATGCAACAGATGTTTGTCTTAACATATTATTATTTTTTACCTGTGCATGTAAATGTGTAAATATTTTCAAATACTGTACAGTACTGTACAACCTTAAACTATCTTGGTTGAGGATGATAGACTTGTTGGAGAGGATGGGATTGGTATTAAAGAGTCAGAGTCTGATTCTGCTGCTGGAGTCAGGATCTTGCTCCTCTAACATTGCCATTGCTGCTTCAATGAGACGAAAAGCAACAGCTAACTCTTTAGTAGAAAACTTTCTCAATTTTGGAGTTTCTAGGTCCTGTTTTTTTTTCACTTTTTTCACTTGCTGCTCTAGTTCCGTAAGGCCTTCATTGGTTAGTTGTTTCCCATGGGAGTTGAGTAACACTATGATATCATTTGCTGATCACTGCTGTTGATTACTAATAGCAACCTCAGCTTGCCTGGTTTCGGCGATTTCATTATCTGTAAACCCCATGAATTTGGGGCACAATTTGTTCCAAACTCCTCTCGTATTTGTCTCACTTCATTTCAAGCATCAGCATCATAAATGTTATAATTCTTCATTTTGGGTAGCCTTCACTGCTTCTGAGACTGTCCTCTGTAAATAACAGGCCTTAAAGGAGGCTAGGACTCCCTGATTCATTGGTTGAAGTAGTGATGTGGTGTTGAGGGGTGTAGAAATACAACCTTTACTTTGGGGTGCATGTCCTCTAAAGTGTTCGGATGTCCAGGGACATTGTCAAGGAGAAGGAGAATTTTGAAAGGAATGTTTTTGCCCAAGCAATATGTTCAACAGCAGGGCCAAAACTGTTCAAAAACTAAATGATTTGACTAAAATGGTTCAAAGGCTTGAGCTTTAATACTCAGATGCATTACCAAGTAATAAAGTCAGCCTGTCCTGTGATGCCTTATGTTCTGTACACTTTTTTTCTTTTTCAAAATGTAGGCCCAATTAAGAATTTTTTTCCAAAACAAGCCAGTTTCATTTACATTAAAGAATTTGGTCTGGCAAATAACTTGCATCGTCAATAATATATTCCAATATCTTGTGAAAATCTCTTGCAGCACTTAAATTGGCACTCACTGCTTCACCTTGAACTTTAATATCATGCAAATTGGCTCTTTCTTTAAAACTACTGAACCAATCCCTACTTGCAACAAATTCTTCATTGCAATCTCCTTCACGTGCTGTATGAGCAGCTTTTAAAAAATTGAAAAGACTGTGAGCCTTTTCTTGCAATAAAGAAAGACTGATAAGCATATTACACTGATTTTTGTCTTCTATCCAAATTGCCAACAGCCTTTCCATCTCAATAATTAAACCAATGTGTTGCTTGGTAATAATCATAGCATTCATTAGAGTATGGCCTTTCACATGCTCCATTATTCTACCTTTATCTTTTAAAATTGTTGCGATTGTCGACCGACTGTAACTAAATGCAAATGGATGATGGAGTTTCATCTCTCTCTGATCTCTTTATTATTTCTACTTTATTTTCAATGGTGATGGTTTTTCTTTTCTTTCCTGTATCACCAGCACTTGCATCAGATTTGTGTCTTGGAGACATTGTTGCAGGATGAAAATAAAAAATGTGTACACTGTTGGTGGTGTCCCAAAAGCAGATGAAAGATGAGGTAGCCAGGGCAGCTTCTCAGAGAGTGGAGTGAACTCTAGAAGTGAACAAGAATAAGAAAGAAAAGCACCTGTATGTGCAACAGCAAACCAATGTATTTAAAAAAACAGGTACTGTATAAAAACACTCACAGAGGTGGTAGGATATAAGGCTCATCAGCTGGATATGCCCACTTGTAGTGTGTCCTTAGCCCACAGCAGCAGCAGTGGTCCCCGGACCTCAGAGCAGCTCAGCAGCATGGGATCCAATAAAAAAAGAAATGGCTAAAAGAGACCCAGAGAGATAGTGACATTCAGGACCGAGCAGCATAAATTACAAAAAAGGCTTTATTGACCAACTATAAACAGTACAGTAAGTTATAGGTGAAAACTAGGGCATACTCCCAATAGTGGTGGGCAGAGAGTGGCCTTAGACAGTCCCCGCAATGCACGTTCTTCCAGCCTGGGGGACAACAGATGTAGCTGGGATTGTTAAAATAACCCATATCTCACCAGTTACACAAGTTCTGTCTGCTTCTGGCCATGCAGTTAAGTGGGATTGTTGACAGGTGCGCCAGACAATAGGTAGTTTCCTGCACCAGCATGGAGAGCAAGCGGCCAGTAGTGACATCACGCTGCCTCTGTTCATGAGTATGAGTCGTACATAATTTGAATGTTCATAACTCGGATTGCCTGTACATTTCTTTGATTTATTTGAGCACTGACAAGTAACCTTTCTGTGTGCAAGAGAGACCGTAAAAAAGTAACGGACACCCTTATGGAATCTGGTTTATTATTAGATTCGATTTCAGGAAAGCTTCTGTTTGAAATTAGTGTCACTGTTTGTATTTGTTATTTATGTCTTTTGTTTAGTGCATCATGACAAGAGATATAATGATTTGGAAACATATATCTGTTCTGTTCAAAATTCCAACGTTGCATTTGAGCATTACCATCCATTTGCTGCCTTAACCATAGACCATGTAAGTATAAATGTAAATTTTGTTGATGTCCCATTTAACAGTTTGTGTACTTTTGCTAGTGTATTTTTTTTCTTTCCGAAAGTGGAACTTAAACTACAACAACTTGATAAAAAAATAATGTTCTTTAGTAGGGAACGTACATTCCACATTAATAATTTATACTTCCAAAATTAGTGTGTGTGTAAAATGCCTCCAGCATTACTCCCTGTTTTTTCTTGCTAGAAGCTGCCATTTTGCTGAAGCCCAGAACCCCCTGAGCTGCAGAAAGTTTTTAGGCTGTCAGCAGATTGGCCTCTAGTGGCTCTGATTTTCAGCACAATGCCAAAAATGAAGAGCAAATGAGCATGTGCAGAGCAGGGTGAGACAGTGTATTACTGGATTTTAAACAGTATAGGCACTTTTTAAATTGTTTTACATATAGTAGCTATACCTGCAAAAGAGGCCAGCCTGAAGTGATCTAGCAGGACTTAATTTTCTGACTAAAGTTCCATTAAATTCAAATAAGGAGTAAAAAAACATTCAACGAAAGTGAGTCCTTGGCTATCCTTCAGTATACCTGGAATTAAATAAATGTATTATCTTTTTATGTTAATGGAATGATGGCACTAATTGAACGAAACAGTCATTAACAACACTTGTCTACTAAAAATAGGTGAAGAACTATGGAATTCCAAAAGATCTTACATGCTCTCCTCGAGAATGCATACAGCTATATGACACCATGGCAAAAGTATGGCCAACATGTGCAAATATGAAGGTAAATTACATCAGTGTATTAGGGTGACTGTACTATCTGCAGCTTCTATGCATATCTTTTGGACTTATAGAACTCAGTTTGACTGATGTACAATGATGTCACCATATGTGCAGTAGGAGCCTATGTATGGGGCACTTGAAGTTGCAATCTCCATGGAGCAAAATAAGATAGGAGATCCCCCCCAGTTCACAGTATCCTTAGCTTCCAAAATTATTCCAGGGTAGGTTATAATGATAAACTGAGCCCTATTCTTTTTGGGCTTTCAGTGGTTGTCCCTTTTATAGTTGTTCCATTAAGCATAATAGCAGAATTCTTCTTTATCTGTCACTTTACTTTCCAGAAATAGATTGATTGAACTAATTCAGGCTTAATGCAGGTTTCTTGGAAGAAAAGAACATTATAAAAATGAGCACAACCACAGAACGACAAGATCACCAATAAGATGTGCTAGGCTACAGCTCTTTTTTGTAAATGTGAATGGAGGCACCATACACCAGATAGCTATGCCTACCTTTTATTCCCAGCATCGGTTCTCCTTTGGTCTTTAAAATTCTGCACAAATTATAGTTTAATTATATAATATATTTTTTTTTAGTGCTTAGATGCATCTAAATATTTCACAGACACTCTAAATGGTTCTCAGTACAACCATCTTGCAGAAAATAAATTAGAAAACATAACTAAAACATAAATTGTGGACAGTTTATGACTTCTAACCTTAAATGCTGGTTTTATCTGTCTTGTTGCCTCTTTTTTACTGCTCTCAATGACTGGATGCTCCATTTGCCTCCTTCTCCTATCTAGTGGTATTGAGCCTGCTATCATACCCAATAACTAATAGGTTCTGGTGAAAGCAGGGGTAGACTAGCCATTGACTCTGTAAATGAATATTGATATTTGCATATCAGAGTTACCCGAGTTTCAGGATGTCCTGGAGCATTGATAAATATGTAAGCTGCTACGTGCAGGAACCTGAGTGCTCAGGTTCTTCATTGTGATATTGAACCTTTACTTTTGAAATGTATTGAATGGCAAGGTTTGCTTTACCCTAATCCTCTAAACACAAGCCTAGAAAGCACATTTCAGCTGATTTCATTATTGATTGCCTTTAGTTCAATGACAGCACAGTGATTTTGTTGTTCAGAATCTTTTTTCTAAAACTACACATAGGGGGAGATTTAATAAAACTGGTGCACATATAATCTGGTGCAGCTGTGCATAGCAACCAATCAGCTTCCAACTTCAGCTTGCTTAATTATAGAAGTACAGCTCGTTTGGTTGTACTTCTCCTGTGGATCACAGAAGTGCAGTTCATTCTGCACTCCTGTGGCCCTTTTCCAACCAACAGTGGGTAAAGTAAGTATGATTTAAAAATAAAACATATTCTCATGCTTCTCTTTTAAGCTTTGACAATAAAACCTGGAAGCCGATTGGTTACTATTTACTGATTGGTTACTAAATCTCCCCCATACTGTCCCTTTGCAAAGTCTTCCCTTACAAGCAGCATTGTCTAGGTGTTTCCTTCAAAAAATATTCCATTGTCATAAGTTACTTCTTGTTTCTGTTGGTGGATCAATTTGATTGATGTTTCAGGAGAGCCGTATGCCAGGTATCACTGATTTTGTGTTTTCTGTAGAACAGTCATCAACTAGTATTTTCCGTTGTTATTAAATATGGACTTTATCCAAATCTCTGTTACAGCACAGGTGGCATGGGAAGTTGAACTTGCTTGAAAGTCTCTGCAGGGTAAAAAAAAATGGATTGACTAGAAGTGCATAGTTGCCAAATCTTGTGTAACAACACTTATAGGACAAGTCAACTTAAAGGATAAGTTTCACCTTTGGTAACATATTACAGTTAGTGTATACCATGTAACATGTTATCAAAGAGCACCTGCTTGCACCCCCCTGTCACCTTTCTCCCTAAATGAGTAGCCCTTTTTGTCACCCTGCACAGAGGACCCCTGTGCCTGTGTGTGTTCACAGTGTGCATAGTGTAGGTGACCAGTGTGTGTGTAAGCAGAATCTCAATTCTCTTTCACCAGTTCTTTCACTGCTTCCTCCTTTGATGCTGCTCCAGTGCCAGAAAAGGACCTGACTTCAGCTCATAAACAGACACTATCCTGACCCCCTCACCACATAGCAAACACAGGCTGAGCAATGTGCCAAATTGCCTTGGTGTGTGTGTGGGGGGAATATGCATATGAATGAGCAGTCACGTGATTTGTATATGAATGAGCTATGCACATTACATTACAGGGAAGGGCTGCTAGGCAGAGGTAGTTACAGGCAGTCACAGCAAGATTCATGCTGGGATCCCGGGACTGTATGCAAAAAAAAAAAAGTTTGAGTGCCCCAGCAAACCCCAGTGGGTAAAAAGTAGGTGACATTCAAAAACCAAGGTGGACAGGAACAGAGTCCGTAATTATGGTGGGGGAGAGCCTAATGTTGGAGGATCTGTGACAAAAAAGAACTGAAGAACTGAATCAATCCACCAGGTTCCACCTACACTTCTATTGGAACATTACTTTTGTTGGAAGCATTAACTCTAGTGAAACACATAAAATTGCCCTGTGTACTACAGGACCTTTACATTACATCATGGAAGCTAGCAACAGGGTGTGCTTAGTTGGACTGTGGTGTATATAACTTAGACTATCCTTAGGAGCATCGACTATCTAATCCATAATTCTGCATGACTTTAGCAGTATTTGTTATTTATTTCTTCTTCCTTCAGTTTGATGATAACCCCTACACCTACTGTATAGCTTAGATCTATACCTATAGCTATTTACTTACATCATCTGTACATCTACATGCTCTTAGTATCTGAAATAAGCATATAGGTGCTGTAAGGTTTAGTTGGAGCCAGTATCTCTAGCTCCATGAGCCACAATCTGTTCAAAATTTACACAATTTTAATTATATACTTCCAGTATAAGGAGGCAAAAGAGCCCCCTGACCAAAGTCCCTCCTCCCCATACACAAATAATATAGAACAATATTAAAAAAGATTTTAAAAAATGTATATAAATAAATCATATCAAATATATAATAATAATAAACTACTTTTTTTGAATGAAATGTATCTTTGGAAGTAATATTTTGATGGCCAATATCTGTAAAAGTTTGACTGGTATATGTTATTGTTTTTAAAAATGAATTTTGGAACCTCAAGTGAACCACACATAGAGTGCTATGACTATGAGCGTTATCTCAGAACGACTTTGTGCCATGCATTTTAAAGATGTGCGACTGTCATTGGGAATGTAAACCATCACTGTGTATGAGGTGCCCCCCCCAAGGTCTAAATCTGGCCCTACATACCTCCTCAGTCAGACCCGGTCAGTGGCTACAGAATGAAAGACCCTGAACTATCAGGCAGCCTTGTACTCATTGGCTCTAGTGTTGCAATGACTTCCTGGGAAATACACCCTCCCTCACTCCCCAGCTATAGAGTGTGCCCTAATCCACACCTACTAGAGGTGTAGAGGGAGATCCTGGCAATCTAGTAATGTGAGCTGGTGCATACACAGTAACACCTATTGAGAGTCATGCTTTAATTCTGGGACACAGCCTAGGGCACAATGGTCAAGGGCACAATGAACTCAAAAGGGGGACTGTCATGGTAAATCCAGTAAAGTTTAAGGTAAGTGATCCCCTTCCCTCGGTTTGCACTGGAGACAAATTTCTAGTACCAGTCAAGAACTATTTTGTATCCTTGTTCCATTGGGTCTACACAAATGCATTACAAATATGTTCAAACTGTAGTTTAATATGAGTGACAGAGTAGTTTATGCTTAGCAGCCTATTTTTCATCTTTACATTACTACATTAGCCACAAAAATATATTTGATATATCATACTAACTGTAATATTTATTTGTTAAGACTTTGGATCCAGAAGAGAATATACACCTAAAGGACAAAGTATTAATTACCAAAAATGATGCAATAAAATATCAAGAGGCCCTTAAAAGTGAATTAGTTGACTGGATTGAAAAAAGGATATTGTGCACAAGTAAGTTCTATAATCATTTTTTCATTGGAATTTGGATGATAAACAGACCCTAAAGGGTAGAACAATTTAACCACCTCTATACCTCTGCATTCTGAAAAACAGCAGTGAGGGACGCTGTTTTTGGAACCATTTATAAACAGTCCTGCAGAAAGTACACAATGGGGGCCAGTGTGTCTGTGAATGGCTGTGATGGAGTTGTTATTGAACAGTTTAGATCACAGGTGTACTGTACAGAACTAATAAGAATCGTTCTGAACCAATTCCAGGCATAGCAAGTGTAAATGCTACCAGTATTCCCTTTCCTCCATTGTGAATGCGCTGACTGCTAGTAGATACAGCTGGAAGGAGGATTGTAGTGGATCAGAGGTAAAGGTGGCCACCAATGGTTGTAGGATTGTTGCATGTGGAGAAGGGGATTAACCTTTTCGCTGCCACAAACATATCTCATGCCATGGCAGCAGCTGGGGTATTTACACCTAATCCCCGCTGATACAGCGTGGTGTATTTGTCAGGCTGACTGTCTGCTTTCTGGTGGAAGTTATTCAGGCGGCTGTAAAGAAAAAAAGAGCTATAGTGCAATGCTTTCGAGCCACATAGGACCCCTTCATCAGGCATCTGATAAGATGCATAATACAGTGTACAAACATTTAAAGTGCTATCCATCAATCAAAAGCTGATCCTGATCTCTGATGTCCCAAGATGTCATAAAACCCTACCAAAATTGACCAAACATTTGACAGATGTGGATGATGCACAGTCCGTAGCTTTCATCATTGAACATACTGCCATGCACCTGCCTCAGCTTCCAAGAAGTGTTCATATCCTTTACTAGAGTTATGTATATGGTACAGCTGAATTTATGTTGACTTTATTTTTCGATATTTGGTCAATTCTGGTGGATTTTATAATGTCACATGATGTCAGAGGCTAGGGGTGGCTCTTTGCACAGGTTTTGATTGGTGTTTGTCACTTTAAAATGGTTGTAAACTTTAGACATTAAATATGAACAAAGCATATCCTTCAATAGTGTGTACTTGTCTCAGTCCGGAACACTGAGTGTCATTTCTGTCCACTGCCTCATTTCTCTGCTATCTGCACAAGTCACTTCTGATAAGTTTTCCTTACACCATAGATAAAACAGTGACAGGGAAGGGAGCTACAAAACACAGCTTGTAATTGACAGCTTCAGTTCTGTTCCTAAGTGCTGTGTGAAGGAGGGTGTGTCCCTCCAGTAGGCTGTCAGAGCTCTAAAGTATAACTTCAGCCCCCCTCCTCCTGCTTTCTGGAAGCTCACACAAGAAGTATGTATTCTGGAATTTTAACAGATGTAGAGGAGAAAGGGCTAAAGATAAACAGGTACAACTGATAATTGTTTCCATCTTGTTAGGGGTGCACCAAAATTTCAGTGGCCAAAAAACACCCCTAGCGGCCGTTGGCCGATATAAAAATAAGCACTGATACAGGTGGTGAAAATAACCCCGCCCCCTCGCCTCCACCCGCCACTCGGTGGTTCTCAGCCTTACCTGAGAAACCATCGAATGATCCCGGCTCTGGGCATAGAGATAAGTGAAGGAAAGATGGCCTTCACTCATCTCTATGCCCTTGGAAGACCGGAGTGATGTCACTTCCGGTTCTGGCGCCTTGTAAACAAGGCAATTTTTTTTTTAAAGCGCTAGATCAATGCTTTTTTTAATCTAATACTTTACATTGTAGAGGAGAGATGTGGGGTCTCATTGACCTCATATCTCTCCATAAAGGGGACCTGTCACTAATTATTTCTATCACACGGGTTGAATGCATTCCTTGTGATAGGAATAAAAGTGATGCATTTTTTTAAAGGGACAGTGTAAAAAAAAAAAAAAAAATTAAATAGATTATCAAATAAAAGTTTAAAGTCCCCCTGTCCCCCCATGCTCGCACATAGTGGTGAACGCATATGTAGGCCACGCCCACATATGTCAACAGTGTTCAAACCACACATGCAAGGTATCACCAAGAACGTCAGAGCAAGAGCAATAATTCTAGCACTAGACCTCCTCTGTAACTTTACACTGGTAACCTGTAGAACATTTTAAAGAGTCACTCATGGAAATTTTTAAGTACTGTGCTTTGACGCCATTCCACAAGCGTACGCAATTGTAAAGCATGACATGTTAGATATCTATTTACTCGCCGTAACATCATCTTTCATATTTTACAAAACAATTGAGGTATATATTGTGTTTTTTTTAATCATTAAAGTGTATTTTTTTTTCCCAAAAATATATATTCATTTTTAAAAACCGTCCATTTCAGTTTCGGTACCAGAATTTTCATTTTGGTGCACCACTAATCTCTGTGTATCACCTAAGGCACATTCACTGGGTATATGTATATATTCACTGGGTATCACATTTCACTAGGTATATGTGAGGGTTTACAACCACTTTAAATGTTTGTACATTCTATTATGCACTTTAACACATGCCTGACAAAGGTGTCCTGCATGGCTCTGTTGGATAAACAACCACTTGGATAAATGTTTGGACAACATTTTCAAGGTGCTGTGCTGGTGATATGAACTTCTACTTCTATATACAGAACCTCTGCTTATTTCTAATAGGGGAGGTGCACAGCATGCTCAGGGCAAGGACTAAGTGTTGCAGACCAGGGAGACCCATGAAAACACAATGATGTGGGTAATGACGCTAACCTCCCCGCTTAATGAGGAGTAGAGGTTTAGAAACCTTGATTGGAGAAGCCAGGCACTCTCTAGCACAGGGGTGGGCAAACTTTTTGACTTGAGGGCCGCAATGGGTTCATATATTGGACCCGGGGGCCGGACCAAGAGTAGATGAATGATGTGTATGTGTCATCCATAGTAAGTATAGTAATATTCCCCCATAGTAAGCATAGTAATTAATCCCCCATATAGTAATTCATCCCCCCCATAGTAATTCATTCCCCCATAGTAATTCATCCCCCATATAGTAATAATTCATCCCCCATATAGTAATTTCATCCCCCATTCATCCCCCATATAGTAATTCATCCCCCATATAATTCATCCCCATATAGTAATTCATCCCCCATAGTAATTCATCCCCCATATAGTTCATCCCCCTTATAGTAATTCCCCATAGTAATTCATCCCCCCATCCCCCATAGTAATTCATCCCCCATATAGTAATTCATCATTCCCCCATAGTAATTCATCCCCCATAGTAATTCATCCCCCATATAGTAATTCATCCCCCATATAGTAATTCATAATTCATCCCCCATATAGTAATTTCCCCCATATAGTAATTCATCCCCATATAGTAATTCATCCCCCATATAGTAATTCATCCCCCATATAGTAATTCATCCCCCATATAGTAATTCATCCCCCATAGTAATTCATCCCCCATATAGTAATTCATCCCCCATAGTAATTCATCCCCCATATAGTAATTCATCCCCCATATAGTAATTCATCCCCCATAGTAATCATCATTCCCCCATAGTAATTCATCCCCCATATAGTATTCATCCCCCATATAGTAATTCATCATTATCCCCCATATAGTAATTTCATATAGTAATTCATCCCCCATAGTAATTCATCCCCCATATAGTAATTCATCCCCCATCCCCCATATAGTAATTCATAGTAATTCATCCCCCATAGTAATTCATCCCCCATATAGTAATTTCCCCCATCCCCCCATATAGTAATTCATCCCCCCCATCCCCCCTATAGTAATTCATCCCCCCTATAGTAATTCATCCCCCCTATAGTAATTCATCCCCCCTATATTTCATCTATAGTAATTCCCCATATTATTTATCCCCCATAGTACTATTCCCCCCCAAGTAGTAAGCCAAGTCCCCCCTGTGTCAATTCACTTACCTTTGCTCCGCGTGTTCCTCTCCCCGTGTTCCCGCGCCGTTCCGGTCTTCAGGGCGGACTGTGAGAGGAGCCTAGCTCCCCTCACGTTCGTCACGCTGCCCCGCCTACACACATCCTGACAGCCAATGTGTCACGCTTCGCGGGCCGGATTAAAAGGTCCGCCGGGCCGTATACGGCCCGTGGGCCGTAGTTTGCCCATTGCTGCTCTAGCAGAACCTAAGGGAATTTCTCATGAAGAGGCAACCCAGGGCTGCCATGATAGTATAGTCCTGAACATAGGGGCAAAAATAACCAATGGTCATGTTATCAGGATTAGGTCCAGACACATCAAGTATATAAGGAAGGGAAAGGTGCCCAAGAAAGGTGTGAAAGCAACTGCAGGGAGAAATGAGGGCATCAGTGCTTAGTCCTTTGAATCAATGATTTTAGGGAACTTTTATGAGAAAAAGGGTCCACAAGGTACCCTGCATGTCAAAGAACAGAGTTTGTGTTGGGAACTCCTGATCTAGGGGGGTGTAGTGAGTTCAGTACTGCAAACATACAATAAAAATATACTTTAACTCACTGGTTTAGACTTTTTAATGAAGTAATTCCCATGTATAAAATAACATATGAGACTTGAGGTTGCCCCCAAAAAATATAGAAAAACTTTGGTCCCCCTGGCTGGAAATGCAACCTGCACTGCCAGTCAATCTCTCATTGGAAATAACATTTGTACAAGTGTTAGTGTTAGTTATCAAAAAGTAAATACCTTGTATGATAACATGAATTTCTGCCTGTGTTATACTGTACATACTTTGTTAAAACTGGTATTTATTCAAGATGTCACAAAGTACCTATACTGTTGTTAAACCTTGAGGATGAATAGACAGTTTGTTGTATACAATGTATGCTTAGTTGGTGCTTTTTTGTGTAGTAATACTTAATTGTATAGATCTTTGTTGATTTTTATTTGCTTAAACATGCAGTACAAACCCTTTCCTGCTTTTTTTTTCACTCATGCAATTTAATTAAAAAAAGATACAATGAAGTGTTAATATACAGGGAATAAAAGCCCCTCACATTCCTTACAACAATAAATAAATATATATATATATATATATACATACATAGAATGAGCACCTGTCT